TCCATCCAAACGGCGCTGTGTTGATGATGCACGCACAGCTGCCCGGCGCTCACTGGCTCACATCGGTATAAATGTGGGACCGCAGGCCGGGTCCGGTGGAGGCCCCAGCTCTCAGCGAAAACAACACACGCCTCACCTGAACAAACGCGAGCGACCGTCATCCACCGTGTCTCAGCGATCAGCAGCTCACGGCGGCATAAGCGTGAGACAGCTGAACGAACCCGGTGACGAGCCCCGCCCCCAGCGAGAGCGGCGCGCGTCCCTCCAGAGAAAACGTGTGCTCCCGCGGGGCTCGCAACCTTCACTCCGACAGCACGGCGTTGATGAATCACGCCCTCCGCCTCTCAACGTTCGCACAGCGACGTTAAACGTGCAGCCCCACGACGTAATCAGCTGGCACACGCTTCGCCTCAGCACACACCGGCCCACCCAGACATGAAGGTTGGTCCGCGATCCAGACGCAGCGCACGGGCACGTGCAGAACAGCCCTTTCGAGGAAGCCTCGCCTTGGGTCACGCGGAAAACATTTCCGCGACGCATGACGGCGGTCGAGACGGCGGATTGGATGACATCCGTTCAAAACACGGCGCATCACTTAAACGCACGCTACTCCACGAACGTTACGCAGAGTGGCTAAAAACACGCTCGCCGGACAGATGGATGGACAGAGTGTTATGCGAGGGTTACACGCCGCAATTTGCAACCCGACCCCCTCCGTTCGGAGGAGTTATAGAGACGGTCCTGTCATCACCAGACCAAATCTCAACCTTAAATGCAGAAGTTCAGGAGCTTCTGATAAAAGGCGTAATCTCCAGAGTTCCCAACGGAGAGGAAAACACAGGGTTTTACTCACGCTACTTCCTGGTTCCCAAACGGACCGGAGGGATGAGACCGATTCTGGATCTGTCAGCTTTCAACAAAGCGATCATGGACAGACCGTTTCACATGCTGACAACCAGACAGCTGTTGGACAACATCCAGAGAAACGACTGGTTTGTTTCCATCTATCTAAAAGATGCTTATTTTCACATACCGATCATCCCAAAACACAGGAAATTTCTGCGTTTCGCCTTTCAGGGGATGAAGTATCAGTACAACAGGCTGCCTTTCGGGTATTCCCTCGCGCCTCGTACGTTCTCAAAATGTGTGGAGACAGCCCTGTATCCACTGCACAGAGCAGGGATGAGAATTTTGTTTTACCTGGACGAACTGCTGCTCCTGTCACACTCCAGACAGGAGGCGCTGATGCAGGCTCAGGTGCTGGCATCACACCTGTTAAATCTGGGCTTCGCCATAAATTGGAAGAAAAGCTCGATTTTCCCGGCCCAGACAATTGTTTATCTGGGAGTGGAATTAAATTCAACTACCATGAAGGCTCGTTTATCACAAACGAGAATCGACACTTTAAAAAGTCAACTCCGCCACGTAAGACCTGGCAAAGTGGTAACAGCTGTCTCCGTCATGAAGCTGTTGGGAATGATGTCATCAGCTCACACAGTGGTTCCGCTGGGTTTGTTACACATGAGACGCCTCCAGTGGTGGTTTGCGCGTCTGCGTGTGGATCCAGTAAAACAAAAAAGACGGATGATCACTGTCCCTCCCTCCGTGAGAGCAGACCTCCGACACTGGGGAAACACCCTGGTTCTGTCGGAGGGAGTTCCCGTCAGCAGACCCACGTCACACGTGTCAGTCTTCACGGACGCGTCGCTGTCAGGTTGGGGGGGGACATGCCTATCTCAAGCAGTAGGGGCGCTGTGGCCCCACCGCACATCAACCCACATCAATGTTTTGGAGTGTCGCACAGTGCTGAATGTGATTCAACACTTTGCTCCTGTGCTACAGAATCAACATGTGTTGATTCACACAGACAACATGGTGACTGCTGCGTACATAAACCGTCAGGGGGGTGTGCGTTCAGCCCAGATGTTACACATTGCGTGAAAGCTACTGTGTTGGGCTCACCAAAACCTGCTCTCCATCAGAGCAGTTTACATACCCGGTGTTCTAAACAGAGGGGCAGATGTGATGTCCAGGGGCGGTCCACGTCACGCGGACTGGACCCTCCATCCAGACCTGATGGTTCAGACGTGGCAGAAGTTTGGCAAAGCAGCTGTGGACCTGTTTGCGACATGAGAGAACGCTCAGTGTCAACTATGGTTTTCCCTGAGCCCGCGAGACGATCCACCGCTGGGGGTAGATGCATTTGCTCACAGCCCGTGGCCCAAAACGCTTCTGTACGTGTTTCCCCCACCTCCTCTGATTTTACGGTTCCTGAACCGAGTTCAGGAGGAGGGATTGACAGCTCTCCTGGTGGCTCCCGAGCGCGTGAACGCACCATGGTTCCCAGTCCTGCAACGTCTATTGTCGGGTCGCCCGTGGAAACTGCCGTGGAGGGAGGATGCTCTCCTTCAAGCAGGAGGAGCGATCAGGAGTCACCCAGAAATAGGCCAGCACCTTTGGGTCTGGCTGCTGAGCGGTCCCGCTTAGAGAGGATGGGTCTCCCACAGGAGGTAGTGCGCACAATCCAGGATTCACGTGCTGCATCTACCACAGCTCCGTATACATCAAAGTGGATGGCTTTTCAGCACTGGTGTACAGAGAAAGGTTTAGAGGCCACCTCATGCCCATTAGGCGGCGTGTTGTCTTTTCTACAACAGCTGATGGATAGGAAGTTGGCATTCAGCACGATTAAAACGTACGCTGCAGCCATCTCTTCCTGCCACGAAGGGTTCGGAGACAAAACAGCTTTTAGTCACCCGCTGATGAAGCGGTTTCTAAAAGGTGTACAGAGACGTAGGCCTGTTTCACGCCTGTTCCACAGTGGGATTTAACGCTGGTCCTGCGAGCCCTGATCAAA